TTACGTAATGGTAAAAAACAACGATGCTCCCATAAACCCTAACATGATGGGTGGTTAGGGAGCCTCTCTCACTTGTGCCCTAAGACCCCTTCAATGCCCTCTCTCTCTCTCTCTCTCTCTCTCTCTCTCTCTCTCTCTCTTCCCCCCTCTCTCTCTCTAAATCCTATCATATCACTTTCACACGTATGCGTACATGCACACATAGTTATATATATGTATATATGTGTGTGTGTGTTTGTAAGGCGGGAACTACATAGATGTGACAGGAGTACTACGTAGGGAACCAAATTAATTGTCTGTAAGTAAACTGTTTACCCTTATAATTTGAATGTGTCGAATACTTTTCTCATCATGGTTTTAACTTCTAAATAATAACTATAAACTTTTTTATTGCATTGATGTCTGAATTTTATTGGAAAATCTAATGTAGATTATTACTAATTTTCCTATTAAATAATGAATTGAAAAATTTTAAACTGGTAAAATAGTGATTAAGCTGGTTCTTTTAATTCTTAAAAACAACACTCTTAAAAATATAATAGTACAGTAATTGTTAGCCTGTTTAGTTCATTAAATCCAACCGGAATAAAACAATATATCGAATTGTATGGGATATAATTAAAATAATTATCCATAAAAATAAGATAGAATCAAAATATATAGTCTTTTTTGGTGTCCAGCTCGTAAGAATTTGGTGGCTATGGCAATTGGTATAAACTACTAATACACTTTTTGATTCGGTTATACAACCAAACCGAATAAACTAATTTATAATTATATCTAAATTCAATCAAACTAATTAGATATGATATTTTTAAACGTTATGTACTAACGAAATAAAAAAAACATGATCTAATTTTAAACCGAATAAAAACATAACCATTTGTACAAAAACCAATAATTCTTTAATGATAATAGAATTCAAAACAAACTTTGATGTAGAATCGAACATAGCTTTTTTTTTTTTTTAAAAAAAAGGAAAAAACCGGAACAGAAATCACACCCATATATATATATATATTCATAACAATTCTTTTGAATAAATGCCATGAAATAATTAATAAGACTGAGGGGATGTATGGTCCAAACTCTGTATTCAAACCAATTAATGAAGGATTTTAATGAAATATATATAGTGGTAGAAGGAGTAAATAGTAAATGTATTCCCAAGTTTGGCATCCATACAAGGAAACACATGTGTCCCCATCTCCACTGTTTCATAGGACCAATGGACCATCCCCTCTCCTCTTTCACACCATTCATTTCAGTTATATATATATATATTAGTTTCTTAAATTTCAATTTCTGTTCTGTCCTAATTTTTCGTTCTATCAAAATTAAATACATATACAAAAGCATTGTGGATCATGTCCTTGATATCTGTATGTATATATATACACGAATACGTAATGTGCCCAATGGATAGTTTTATACACGGGATAGATACACAATACTAGTGTTAAATATGTATATAAAGTAATGCCATCCAATATCCGATTATCACATATCCAAACCCTATAGTTTTAAAATCGAATAATAAGCATCCCTATCCGTATTGGAAATGGTGCAGATATTTCTCATGTACAACCAAGAATAGCAGTCTTGAACCAATCTAGGGCTCTACGTGTATAATATATATATTTATATATAATATGGTTTCGAATATATGTGGGAAAGTATAGCCTTTTGCATGATTTGACTGATTTTTGGGTGTCGTGTAGATGATAGAATTGGTGAAAAAGAGGAATGAATAAATAAAAAATAAAAAATACAAAGCACATTAAACCAAAAAAAAAATAATAAAAAATAAAAAATAAAATTAAAGAAGGGTGGGGGTATGACACAAATCACATGTGAATGCTTTTATCTTCCTTCTGGCAATGAAACGTCACATCGTTCATTGGGGTTTCCGTTTTCATGAATACCAATGGCTTCAGGGACCCCACCCCCATCTCCCTATCCTTCCCTTTCACCTTCAAACTTCGTGCCGTTTTGTTTCCTTCTTTCCCTTTGCTAATTTCCATTACCATAACAACATAGGTATTTAGCGGAAATACATATCATTCTAATATTAAATATAACCGGATCTTTCTTCATGTAAAATTAGATCTAAAAATTAAAAATAATAATTTTTTTTTGGTAGATTTTAAAATAACTGAATCAGACCCCCCAAGAAAAAAAAAAGAATGAACAAATAGATAAATATATTAAACGTGTTATAATACTAGATGCTTGTAATGTTTGAGCCTCACCTGTAATATTCATGGACTTGGGCCACATGACTTTTATTTTTTTCATTGCCCAAAAGTTTCGCTTTGGTCCAAATCAGAATCAGATTCAGATTCTCCCACACGATTTAAGATGTGGTTTGGTCCTGTCGTCGGCCCCTCACTCACTGACGAATCGCTGGAATTGGGTGATTTTGTCACGTTTAAAAGTTTTGGGAATAATTGATAAAGTGTTAAGAATCTTATGCCCTGATTAGCAAACAAACACTTGATCTGAGTCCTCTTTTGTTCTTCTTCCTCACTTCTAACCCCTAGTCCCTCCGCCGCCGTGTGATTACCGGAAAAATCCTCCGGGTAATCTCAGGTGACAATGCCTTCAATTTCTTTCGACTGATGATTATTCGAATTCAGTATTCTTACTTGCTTTTACATTGGCCGAATCCGTTGAATTTGAGTGCGTTTCTAGGTTTTCGCCTTAGCGATGGAAATGGAGAGGCGGGAGGTGGAGTCCGAATCCTCGGAGCAGGTGGTGAATCCATGGGAAGTCTCCGCCAAGGACGGCGGGAAAATCGATTACGATAAGCTGATTGACAAGTTTGGTTGCCAGAGGCTCGATCAGTCGATGGTCGATCGAGTTGAGAGACTGACTTCCCGCCCTCCTCACGTCTTCCTCCGCCGCGGCGTGTTTTTCGCTCACCGGTTCGAAATTAAGCTTGCTTCTGTTTTGCTGATCGACATTTTTTGTTGTTGCATACTTGGGTATTTTGAAAGTTTATGTCTTTGGTTGTTTTAACTGTTGGGATTAGGGATTTCAATGAGATATTGGATGCGTATGAGCGAGGAGACAAGTTCTATCTTTACACCGGAAGAGGACCTTCGTCGGAAGCTCTGCACTTGGGGCATTTGATTCCTTTCATGTTCACCAAGTGAGTGAAATTCCACGTTGTAGCTGATGTTAACGCCTCAAGTATGAAGTTACTGGGTAATGCGAGGATGGTTTCGGAGATTTCGCTTGCCCTTTATACTCGATATGTATTGCAGATACTTGCAAGAAGCCTTCAAGGTTCCCCTAGTTATACAGCTTACGGATGATGAGAAATGCATGTGGAAAAACTTATCGGTGGAGGAAAGCCAAAGACTTGCCAGAGAAAACGCTAAAGATATTATTGCCTGTGGTTTCGATGTATCAAGGACCTTCATTTTCTCCGATTTTGACTATGTTGGCGGGTAAGTCACATTTGAAATTTCACCAAAAACAAAGTCACCTTTGAAATCTTTGCAAAGATGGGTAGCATTATCTGTTATCCTCCTGTTTCTGCTTCTGTACTAGTTGAAGGAACTCTATGGCTTAGTAGAAATTTTAACTCCAAGTTTGGCCTAAGTATTGCTCCTTGTTTGGTCGTGCATGCTCCACGTATCCTGCCCGCTTTGCCAAAGATGATTTTTGCTTATGCAATATCTGGCACGTTGAAATCAACGTAGGAATTTGTCTTCATGTTCATATCATACTGCCTTTAGCTGATTCTATGCCAAAAACTTCTGTGCAGTTCTTTCTATAAAAATATGGTGAAGGTTGCCAAGTGTGTCACACTTAATAAGGTGACTATCTTTTGCTTCTCCTTGGATGGCACAACGTTGCTGAGATGCTGTACACCTGCTTTGTAGTCCTGATTCTTTTCCCCATTTAATATTCTTGTTCTAGGCTATGGGAATCTTTGGTTTTACGGGTGAAGATCATATTGGAAAAATCAGTTTTCCTCCTGTGCAGGTATGTCCTTTCCCTTGTAAGTTCAACACCTGTAAATATGTGACACTTGTGCTAATGCAACGAAGCATGCAATCTGTTGTTTCTAGGCTGTTATAGCATGTTTTGCTTCTTTCTTAATGGACAAATGCTTATATATATATGAAATGCTTCTCTTCGAGCAGCACTTTTTAAATTTGTAATTTTATGAACAGCAGTTAAGTTGCATTATGCTTTTTTCAATATTATTGCAGGCAGTTCCGTCTTTTCCAAGTTCGTTCCCTCATCTTTTCTCTGGCAAGGACAATCTTCGGTGCTTGATTCCTTGTGCAATTGACCAGGTGTGTTGTCTTTTTTCAAATTTTCAATTGGATCTTAACCATCTTGTGTTTTGGAGGATAAAATAATGTCACAATGGAATTCATAAAATTTTCAAGTCCTGCTTTTGGGTTGTTTCAGGATCCTTATTTTAGAATGACCCGCGATGTTGCCCCTCGGATAGGCTATAGCAAGCCTGCCCTTATCGAATCATCATTTTTTCCAGCTCTGCAGGCAAGTGTTTTCTTGAATGTTGTCTAGCAGCAGTGCAATTGTCGGAGCATTTTTTTTCTTCTCTTTCTGAAAGTTGAACCTACATGGGTCGCTTTTTGACAGGGAGAGAATGGGAAAATGTCTGCTAGTGACCCGAATTCTGCTATCTATGTGACCGATACTGCAAAGGACATTAAGAACAAGGTGATTTCTGAAGTTACTTTTATTCTTCCCCAAACACTGTTCCATTACATCTATGTAGCCAGCCAATCCATTTTGGTTTTTGGCAACAACCCTGTCTTACATATATGTTCCCAATACCCATTGGTCATGTTCGCATGTCCCTGAGTCCTTCCTGTCATTTGGTCCCATTGGAAAACTAATGTCTTTAGAATTGAGAGAACAGTGTATAGGAAAAAACAGTCGATGTGTGGTGTTGGCTTCAGAATTTCGAACTTTAGGCGATTAGATACCACTCTTAATAAGGAGGGTTTATAATTGCATCATGTATCCTGACTTGGCTTTGTTTCTATATGCAGATAAACAGGTACGCATTTAGTGGTGGGCAAGATTCTATTGAGAAGCACAGACAGCTTGGAGCAAATCTCGAGGTACCAATGTTCTTATCGGCTTACTCTGTGTTTGTCAATTCTGCTTTCTGTTCCTGTTGCGTTCATTGCTGAAGTCGGTTTTATGTTGGGAAACTACCAACCCGTATCCTGTATCCTAACATAGAAATTGAGCTTTGCAACTAAAGTAAATCCTGATTTACATGCTTGAAGATCATTATACACTGCTCGCAGATTCTTGCTGCCATTATATTCGTTAAGATTCATCATGATACTTAGTGCTATTGATCCAGTGACACTCGTAATCTCTCTTATATATTTCCAGGTTGACATACCGGTAAAGTATCTAACTTTCTTCCTAGAAGATGATTCTGAGCTTGACCACATAAAGAAGGTAAGAACCCATTTATGTGTGAGATTATTTGAGAACAGATATATATTTCTTATGTTCATCTTGATTTAAAAAAAAAAACGAACACGATCCGAGTGGCTCAGGAGTACGGAGCAGGAAGAATGCTAACCGGAGAAGTAAAGAAGCGACTCATCGAGGTTTTAACAGAAATGGTGGAGAGACATCGCAGGGCTCGGGCTGCAGTAACCGACGAGGTAAAACTAACGAGAAACATTGAAACCCTAAACCCTAATCAGAGGGTTCAAGGCCCTAGACTGAAAACTTGTCTGCGTTTCTGATATCAGATGGTGGATGCGTTCATGGCGGTGAGACCTCTCCCAAGCATGTTTAACTGAGCTCAGAAGAAGAAGAACATCTGGTCTCTGGTTTTGCTTAGGGTTTCAGACAACAAGTACAATATTTTATACTGAAAACATCATTCTCTTTTTTATGTCATAACACTTGAACATTTACTGGAAAATCTTGAGGATATTAAAATGAGATTTTAAAACTGATGTATTAAAAAATAAAGAATTCGATTTAATACATAACTTCCCCTTTCCCAAATCTATTTGGGCCTTCCTTTTGCAGTTGGACTTGGGAAGCTGTGGCAATTCCGTAGATACTACTAAAAACAAAGGGTAGTTTAGAAAGGAGAGAATCAATGAGCGATATATATGACATAAATACCCTTCTTCTCCATATCGCAAAGTGTAATTTCCTCCAGAAAACCTAATGTCTCCCTCTTCTGCCCCTTCTGTAATTCCCAATCCCACCCTTCTCTCTTCCTTCGTCTCCCCTCTTCCTTTTTTTTGCCCCTATAATCCTTCCTTATTCCCGATTTCTCCTTACCCGCCAAATTCCCCAACGGCTCTCCTTTCCAAATCCCCCCTCCCTCCGCTCCCGTTGAAGATCCTCGACGAAACCCTAGTTCTCTGACACGGGTTCCGTGGTTTTGCTTTTCTGTATTCGGTTGTTTTCGTTCAACCCAGATCGGTTTCTCGGCGTTTTTACGGTTCTTCGTGTGGAATTCTGGAGTTTGGTAAATTTTCTTCCCTTTTTTCAGATTCCTTGTGGTCGGATTCGCCTTTTCACATTCGGTTTGATTCTTCATCTCCTCGCCACTCTGTTCAGTTGATGATTTGATGTTCACGTCGTTATTTGGCGAATTCAATGCACATGCCATTGGTCACGAGGTTTTGTTTACTCACAACAATTGGTATATACTTCTGGTTCTGTAGTTACATAATCTGAGTTTTGGCTGTCTGTCTGAAGAGAGCGAATAAGGCTCCATACTCTGTTTCGTACTTCTTTCTTAAATCTTTGATAGTTCTGAAAGTTTGGTCCTTTTTTTTAAAAAAATTTTCACCCAGAATATGTCTCTGATGCTAGGCTTTCAGCCTTTGGCTTTGCAAATTGGAATCTGAAAGGTAAGTTAAGGCTATGGTATTTTCTTTTGGGATTCGTGATATTTATGCTGAATCTTCAATTAAACTTGGGGATTAAGGCGATATTGATGTTGATGATGTTAGATTATCATATCGTGTTCTCTGAACGTAATGTCTCTTCCTGTATTGCAGGGGGTAAAACGGTGGCTTTTAGCGATGGCAAATCGTGATTTAATCCTTCGGCAGAATCGTAGTGTAGCTATTGGGCAAGCCCAGTCATTGATGCTTGGCCACGACCATAACCTGGGGCTTCGGCAAAACCATGACTTGGAGTTGGGGCGAGGCCACAGTATGGATTTAGGACAGGCCCATCATGATCATGAATTAGGTTTAGGATACCCGCATGATCATGAGCTAGGCTTAGGACATAGTCAAGATCACGTGGGGGAGGGCGATCACGGATACGGGCACGAGGCCGACATCAAGGTGGATCAAAAGCCCGAACATGGCGATCACGATCTGGTGCTTTCCTCTCAGAACCACGATCTCGCTTTGTCGGATAACCATCAGTTGGTGGTTGGCGATAACCATGAACTAGATGATAATATGGAGCTAGCCGCCGTCGATCAAAGTCAAGAATTGGATATTACTGAAGATATGGATTCTCAGCTCGTTGTTAGTACCCCGGTCCTACAGGCCCGAGCCCTTTCTGCGGAGTCAAGTTACCAGTTTTTGGTCGGGCAAGAGTTTCCTGACGTGAAGAGTTGTCGTAGGGCACTGAGGGATATGGCCATAGCTCAACATTTTGAAATGCAAACCATAAAATCTGACAAGACCCGTTTCACGGCTAAGTGTGCAACCGAGGGATGTCCATGGAGGGTTCATGCCGCAAAGCTCCCGGGGGTACCGAATTTCACGATCAGGACAATCCACGAATCCCATACATGTGGAGGAATAAATCATCTCGGTCACCAGCAAGCTTCGGTTCAATGGGTTGCCAGCTCTGTGGAGCAACGTCTTCGAGAGAATCCTAATTGCAAGCCGAAGGAGATTCTTGAAGAGATTCACCGGGTTCACGGGATTACGTTATCATACAAACAAGCTTGGCGAGGGAAGGAAAGAATCATGGCTGCCATGCGTGGATCCTTTGAAGAAGGGTATAGGCTGCTTCCTCAGTATTGCGAGCAGGTTAAGAGGACGAACCCGGGAAGCATTGCTTCGGTCTACGGAAACCCGGCAGACGATTGCTTCCAACGTCTCTTCATATCCTTTCAAGCATCGATTTATGGGTTTCTGAACGCATGTCGACCCCTTCTTGGACTGGACAGGACTTATCTGAAGAGCAAATACCTCGGTACGTTGCTTCTCGCGACTGGCTTTGATGGGGACGGTGCTCTGTTTCCGTTGGCATTTGGTGTTGTTGATGAAGAGAATGACGAGAACTGGATGTGGTTTCTGTGTGAACTCCATAACCTTCTGGAAACCAACACAGAAAACATGCCAAGGCTGACGATTTTGTCAGACAGGCAAAAGGGCATTGTGGAGGGTGTGGAGCAGAATTTCCCGACCGCGTTCCACGGCTTCTGCATGCACCATCTGAGCGAAAGCTTTCGCAAAGAGTTCAACAACACTATGTTAGTCAATCTCCTCTGGGAAGCAGCTCAAGCTCTAACCGTGATCGAATTCGAGGGCAAAATTCTGGAGATTGAAGAGATCTCACAAGATGCAGCTTACTGGATCCGACGGATTCCGCCTCGTTTATGGGCGACGGCATACTTTGAGGGCCAACGCTTCGGCCATCTAACTGCGAATATCGTCGAATCCTTGAATTCGTGGATTGCCGAAGCATCTGGACTTCCTATTATCCAGATGATGGAATGCATCAGAAGACAACTAATGACTTGGTTCAACGAGCGTCGTGAAACTAGCATGCAGTGGACTTCGATACTCGTCCCGTCAGCAGAAAGACGTGTAGCCGAGGCCCTTGAACAGGCACGGACCTACCAAGTTCTTCGAGCCAACGAAGCCGAGTTTGAAGTCATATCCCATGAAGGAAACAACATCGTAGACATCAGGAACCGATGCTGTCTTTGCCGAGGTTGGCAGCTGTACGGTTTACCATGTGCACACACAGTGGCGGCTCTTCTCTCTTGCAGACAAAATGTCCACAGGTTCACTGAGAGCTGTTTCACCGTGGCAACGTACAGGAAGACGTATTCTCAGACGATCCATCCGATTCCAGACAAAAGCCTGTGGAGGGAGTTGTCCGATGAGGATCAGACCGTGAACAAAGCCGCCCTCGAGGTTGTAATAAACCCGCCAAAGTCGCTGAGGCTGCCTGGTCGGCCGAGGAAAAGGCGGGTTAGAGCCGAAGACAGGGGAAGGGCGAAACGGGTCGTTCACTGCAGCCGGTGCAACCAGACGGGCCATTTCAGAACAACTTGTGCCGCACCCATTTGACCACACGGCCACTTCTCCCTGTCACTTGTACCTTTGCGTGTAAGTCTCTCGATTCGTACACCTGGCTGTGTCTTGTCTTGTTCATTCTGAAGAGCATGGGCAGTGATAACTCTGTCAGGTGACGGAAATGGATCGAACCCAGAAACCAGAATCGGTAGCACTTTCGCTATGCTATTAAAAGTTTCCAGCTTTTCCATCGCCTCGCCACTCTCTCTTTATATTCTGTTTTGTTCATATGAGGTTTTCCTGGTCTCATTCCAATATGTAATGTATCATACATACGATACACTGTTCCCATTACAGCTGAAAACATTAATAGCTTTTCACAGTTACAGCGATCAATCAGTGAACTTTCTGGCCAATAGTAAGTGCAATAACAACAATCACGACTATGTACAGGGCAATTTATTTGTATACGAAACTGTGGAACAGCGGGTTCTTGAAGAAGAAATACCTGAAATGCTGCCTGGTGCATTCGAGCCCATGGACATAAGTGCCACGAGGATCAACGAACCAGTAGACGAAAGCGTGCAAGACGAAGAACCCGACCACCAGAAATGGAACAACAGCTATTCCTCTGGATTTTACCGACATAAGGTACACTCCCGACACAAAGGCCGATGCCATTGCGAGCAATGACACGATCATCAGCACAGCCGCGGTGTAAAGGAAAGCGGAACGGCCACGGAACCCGTCTCTAGAGGCGTAATATAGAAAATACACAACGGCGACCGAGAAGCAGAATGCGATAGTGTCGAACACCAAGAAACATTTGAAAGCCGGTTTACCCAACAATACAGGCGTACCTTTCTCGGGTCCGTCGGTTTCATAGCCACCGGGCAATTGAAATGCTGCGGCGAATGTCACCGTTGCAACGAGAACCGCAACTATTAGGTGGACCTCGTACATTGCGCCATCCCTCCCTTCATCTCTTCTCCTGCTCTCTCTAGTATTTTCTTCGTTTTCTCGATCTTCTGATGGTAATTTCACTCTGAAGTATTTCCTCAATGAGTAGTATGCCATTGCTGCCTTGAAACCAAACTAAAAATCAAACAGGTTTCGCTGCATGAGTACAAACTATCGAGCAAAAAAGGAAGTTCTTCTTCTTAAGGTTCCTCAACTTCCGGTAGAGCAACATAACCAGGGAAAAACAAAACACGACTACCTCTTTGGTCTCGGAATAAAAGAGATCAATGGCAGTCGAGGAATTGTTATTCATAGCATGCTTATCCACTTGCTTGTTGCGCGAAAGAAGCAAGATTAAGGCATGGTGCTTGTGGATAACCGCCAGATGAAGAGGTGTATTCCCTTCTCCGTCACATTCGTTCAAAAGAAACAGAAGCTCCGGTTTCTCCAGAACACAGTCCACAATACCTCGTCTTCCCGATATGACGGCCGAGTGGAGAGCTGTCCTGTCCTTACCGTCAAGTATTTCCCAGACGTAAGGACAGTGATGGACGAGCTCTTTAAAGACGTCGACGTGACCAGCGGATGCAGCCAGATGAAGAGGGCATTGCCCGTCTTTGTCAGGCGCATAAGCAGCCGTCGTGTCGTGTTGCAGAAAGATTCGTGTAATCTCAATCTTGCCGAGCCACGCTGAATAGTGAAGAGGGGTCCATCCTATTGCATCTGCTTCTTTGATCATCTCTGGTCTTCTCTCAACCATTTTTCTTGTGAAACCTACCAAATTTTACAGCTTATGCATAAACTGAAACGGTAAATACAAGAAAATACAGTAAGAGAACGGGCATTACCGGGATCAATGTCGGAACTGACAGCAGCGTGCAGAGCGTTCATACCCTTTGGTCCAACTGCTGAAGCAGAAGGAGATGTTTCCAAGATATGATCCACAAGAGAAGAAAACCCTCTTTCCATAGCCAAGAACAAAGGCGTTACATTGTCATTGTCGGTCATATCCAATAAATGAGAATCTTCTTCCACCAGGAATTTTGCCACATCGATGTGACCATTCTTCAATGCAACGTGCAATGCAGTCTCCCCCCGCTTATTTTTCGACCTCAGTAACTGCTTCTGTGTGTCCATCGTCAAGTTCTCGACATCTGAAGTTACCTGGTTGCCTGAACTGACCATCGATCTTGAAACTTGGAAGGAACCTACAGTAGCAGCTACATGGAGTGGAGTATCGCCTTTTGTGTTTGTTCCCAGTAGGAGAGATGGGCAAAGTCTGAGTACGGCCTCGGTGAAATCCTTCCTGTCATACTTGGCAGCAACGTGAAGAACATTGTTGTTTTGAGGTGTTACCTTATCAAACTGTGTCGGAGAAAACTTGGGTTGGTTAAAGACATCAGTTTTCCCTTCCTCGGCCGCTTCAAACAATGTCCAGTCCATGAACTGTTGAAGTAATAGAAGATCCACAAAAATTAGGAACAAATCACCCACAAAATCAGAACCTAGTCTCCTCCAAATCAGAAAATCAACAATCAATTACAACCACTGCAATCAAGAGAACATGAATGGAAACACAACCACTGCAATCTAAGGCGCATCAGACCATGTCCTATATTTCTTGCAAGCAAACTTACCGATGTGAATAATTGCAGATTAAACTAAAAGGTTTAGATACAGCTTAAGTTCCGCAGTTTCAAATCGAAGGGCTCTGGTCTTGTGTTCTAACAAATCTTGTCTTCCGCGTCAGCGTTGACGTCGTCGGGGATGATACCACACCGTCAACGCCTTTTGTTTGATCTCTTGTCTCTTAGGCTTTTTGGGGTTTTGCCTCCTTCTTTCCTGCGTATAAAATTTCCTAAAAAACACATTCAAGTTGACTCTTCGCCTCCACTTCTTGATGAGTTTGTTTGGATCCAGGTTTAACCGAATCCCACACTCTCAAACTCAATGAAACAAGACAGAAAATCAAACATGCTGATAGAAGATCATTACGGGAATTACTACTAATTCCGAACTCCAACTCTTCAATAAACCCCAACAATCTTGTTCTCTAAACCCATGAAACATACAGAAAGCATAGCAAAACTCTGAAACGACGATTCGGGTTTTGATTTTTGTAATGATCTGACTGTGGCTAGTTCCTAATGTCGGAATTATTTGTCTGGAATTCTTGATTTCCCCAACACAATCTCGATCTACAAGTGACAGGCAAAATTTTAACGAAGACAAATAGATAAAATCAAGATGTGACAGGAAAAAAAAAAGATTCACCTTTGCCTTCTGAACTATTCGCCCTTCGTTCTCATCTTTCATCCCTGCCATGGATGTCACAACTTCTGCTTTTTTTTTTCTTTTTTTTGGCAAAGCCGAAACAAGAGCAGAAAGTCGAGTTTCCGACCTAAAATGTCGGCACAGATGGGAGTTTTTTTCTCACTTTTCTCTGTAGCGAGTCCGTTGTTCTTGAAAATCTCAGCGATTGTAACCACCGTTGTGATATCTATGAAAAGACAACGACGTTCAAAAGTGACTTAGGAGGCATAGAATGGAATAGATGTATGATTTCAGTAAAATCTAGACTTTCCAAAAGCAGAGAGCTCGACCTCGTTGCGCTGCTGAATGTGTCTCTGCAACAAAAATGCTCTCGAAACATCGTCAAAGACTCTTCTACGCGAATTGGCGAATGGGATTTCGACAAATACGGCTCGTAGAAACGAACAGACGGTGTCGAGCAATCGGTTGCCTTGGAGAATATTGATCCCTGATCATCTCCCAAAAAGAATCAACAAGATACAGAACCAACCAAGAGAATCAATGTCTTCCTTCTTCTTTGATACCTTGCACAGTTTTTCATTGGAGCACATACCGACTAACTCAGCCTTCTTCTGACATCTTACTAGGTTTAGGGTTGGAGACAACCCATTCTGTAAACCTCGCTGCTCCACTATCCGACATGAAACCACTTAGATATGTCAAATAAACTCCACGAAATCGAAGAGACTATCGATTAATTTATACGTTACTGCAGACTAACTTTCATTAAGCAGATCTATGAGTGGATCAGTCGCGAATTCGAAAAGAACTCCACAAAAAGAAAACACAGATCCGATGAAAAGTCGAGTATTCAAACAGGACAAAACAAAGTACCTTGGAGAGATTAACGAAGAAGAACAACGTCTTCTTGGTATTTGGACGCTTGCTTTCCGGCGCGACTACATTGCTTTCCGGCGCTGATGTCGCGGCCGTCGGTGCCGGAATTGGTGTGGCAACCCCCATCGCCATTCTCATTCACTCTCAGTCTTCTTTTTTCTTCGTCGCTTTGCGTCGATCCTATCGTTTCCCTTACTTTCTTGAAAGCAAGAAAGTGCCTTGTTTGGTTTCTTAGAAAATTAAATTAGAGAACCGTTGGGAGTGGTGGCCTGTTTAAATAGCGTTGGGTGGCGATCATAGCCAATGACACTCTGACGCGTGTTGGTCTCCTGGTGGTCTGGGTATTTTATTTTCCATTTTGCCCTTTCTCAAATGGGCCAGATCTCTTCTTATGGGCCTGGGAGAAATTTATTTATTTATTTTTGCATGTTTTGATTTTTTTTTGCAATATGATAGTGTTTTGTCTAATGAAAAAACAATATTTATTAATTTCTCGGAATGATAATCGTATTTTAGCATAAATTTATTTGAGATTCGCATATAGATACCATGTAATAACACTATTTTACAACGTTAGCTCAATGGAATGTTTTGCAACGTAATAACATCCATATATCCATATATAGTTTATGATATATTGAATCCTATTATTCATTTCTTTGTTTTAGTTTAATTTTAAAAGTACATATATTGATAACCATGCACTGATATAGATGCATAATACCGAAGTCACATGATTTTACGATTAATATTAGATTCCATTATCTAATCAAGTAATATTAATTTTACGTTTATATTAGATAAAAACAAATTAAGATATTAAACTTTTAATAAAAAAACCAAACTAATGTGTATATTTTTTTTTTGAAAACAAGGGGACACATATGACAATCATATTACCTTGAATATTGTTGATATTTAATGAAACGTGTTTAACAACGTTGGTATAGAAACAAGAATTCCAACATTATAAAAAAAAAAAAAAAGAGTTCCTGATTCAAATCAAAGCCAGTTTGGTATGCCGGTCCACTAACATTACAGAACAGCAGGAAAAACGACAGAATTTCACAAATAATAATCGATCAAGTGAACCTTCTGGCCAATAGTAAGTGCAATAACAACAACCGCAACTACGTACAAGGCAATTTATCTGAATACGAAATTGCGGAACAGCGAGTTCTTGAAGAAGAGATATCTGAAACGCTGTCTGGTGGGTTCGAGCCAACGAATGTAAGTGCCGCGAGGATCAACGAACCAGTAGACGAGAGCGTGCAAGAGGAAGATCCCGACCATCAGAAATGGGACAACAGCTATTCCTCTGGATTTTGCCGACATAAGGTACACTCCCGACACAAAGGCTGATGCCATTGCGACCAATGACACGATCATCAGCACGGCAGCGGTGTCAAGGAAAACGGGACGGCCATGGAACCCGTCTCTAGAGGCGTAGTATACGAAATACACAGCGGCAACCGAGAAGCAGAATGCGATAGTGTCGAACACCAAGAAACATTTGAAAGCCGGTTTATCCATCAATACAGGCGTTCCTTTCCCGGGTCCGTCGGTTTCATAGCCACCGGGCAATTGAAATGCTGCAGCGAATGCCACCGTTGCAACGAGAACCGCCACTACTAGATGGACCTCGTACATTGCGTTGTCCCTCCTTCCATCTCGTCTCTTGCTCTTTCCAGTCTTTTCTTCGTTTTCTCGATCTTCTGATGGTAATTTCATTCTGAAGTATTTCCTCAACGAGTAATATGCTATTGCTGACCGGAAATGAATCTAGAAATCAAACAGGTATTGCTTCATGAGTAAAAAAGGCGGTTCATAAAGTTCCTCATCAAATTCCAGAAGAGCCGACATAACCAGGGAAAAACAAAACACAACTACCTCTTTGTTCTCGGAATAAAAGAGATCAATGGCAGTCGAGGAATTGTTATTCATAGCATGCTTATCCACTTGCTTGTCCTGTGAAAGAAGCCAGATTAAGGGATGGCGATCGTGGATAACCGCCAGATGAAGAGGTGTATTCCCTTCTCCGTCGTGTTCGTTCAAAAGAAACTGAAACTCCGGTTTCTCCAGAACACAGTCCACAATACCTCGCCTTCCCGATATGACTGCCAAGTGGAGAGCTGTCCTGTCCTTACTGTCGAGTATTTCCCAGACGTAAGGACAGTGATGGACAAGCTCTTTAAAGATGTCGACGTGACCTGCGGATGCAGCCAGATGAAGAGGGCATTGCCCCTCTTTGTCAGGCGCATAAGCAGCCATCGTGTCATGTTGCAGAAAGATTCGTGTAATCTCAATCTTGCCGAGCCACGCTGAATAGTGAAGAGGGGTCCATCCTATTGCATCTGCTTCTTTGATCATCTCTGGTCTTCTCTCAACTAATTTTCTTGTGAAACCTACCAAAATTTACAGCTTATGCATAAACTGAAACGGTAAATACAAGAAAATACAGTAAGAGAATGGGTATTACCGGGATCAATGTTGGATCTGGCAGCAGCGTGAAGAGCATTCATACCCTCCGG